CCAGTTCTAGGGACGAGTGGGCTTGCTTTGTTGTATGCATGTTTAGAGTTTACTTCATTGTCATTAGGTTTGTTTGTAGTCTTCATTGTATAGTGCCTAGAAAGATCGTCGTAGGTTCTATAAATTAGAGACACTTGCAGTTCATTGGTAGTTTGGTAGACTCGGACACGTACGTGGTTGACATGTAGACGACGATCTTTGTACACGATCCTTGGTTATTTTGTATATCATAACAGTCGTGTAGTTCTTGTGGACTCATGTGGACTTTGCTTTTCATGTCATAACATTCATGTGAACTTTGTTTTTCATGTATCCTGATGTATGCTAAGAACATGTGGACTATGTTTTTCATGTTTGCTAATAACATGTATTACTCATGACATTTTGCACCTATGGATGTCTGAATCAAACATACAAAATCCCCATTTTATTCACCCCCATTAACCCCACATTTTTTAAATCCACCCCCGATGAAGAAACTTGCAAAACGAAATAAATAAACTTGAAACGAGAGAAAGGGTAAGAAGAAGAAGAAGTAAGAAAGAAAACAAAAATAACAGTCCCTCAGACATAGACGAATTAAAAACACATTGACAACCCCCAACCTCACATTTTTTTAAAACCGCCCCGACACAGTGAATATCAGCAGGCGGGGTAGTTAGGTTGGTTGTTGGGGGCCACCCCCGATGAAGAAACTTGCAAAATGAAATGAAGAAACTTGAAGGAGAGAGAGGGTAAGAAAAATAATAAGTAGTAAGAAAGAAAATAAAAATGACAGTTCCTCACACATAGACGAATCAAGTATTAGCAGGCGGGGTAGTCAGGTCTGTTGTTGGGGGGCTGGGAGTCAAAATGATGGGTTGGGGGTCAAAACGGTGGTTCGATGGTCAAAACGGTAGGTGGTGGGTTGGGGGTCAAAATTGTAACATGGGGGGTCAAAACGGTGGCATGGGGGTTAGAACAGTTGGGGGTAAAAAGTGTCGGTCAAGGCTCAAAACGGTGGGTGGGGGTTTGGCGGTGAAAACGAAGGGTTGGGGGTCAAAACGGTCAGAAGGTTCACAACCCCCAACCCCACATTTTTGAAAACCACCCCGACACATACTGAATATGCCCAGACGGTGGTTTGGTTGGTTGTTGGGGGGGTTGGGGGTCGAAACGGTAGTTTGGGGGTCCTCACAGTGGGTTGGGGGTAAAAAACGGTGGGTCGGCAGTCAAAACGATGGGCGGGGGGTTGGTTGTGAAAACGTTGGGCGGGGTGTCAAAACGGTGGGTTGGGGATTAAAACGGTGGCATGAGGTCAGAAAGGTTGACAAYCCCCAACCCCACAGTTTTTAAAACCACCCCGACACGTCGTGAATATCGTCAGGCGGGGTGGTTTGCTTGGTTGTTGGGGGGTTGGGGGTAAAAACGGCGGTTTGGGGGTCAAAACG